ATTTAAACACCAACATACCTTTACATTTTTGCGGGGTTTTAAGCCATAATTATACCGTAATTACCGTCTTGAAGGCACATCATAACACTGAGGCACAAGCACGGTTTTTAATTTTGACTCATATTTATTTTATCGCATTGAATAATATGGATTTTTAATATTCTCAAGTTTTCGAAAAACGTGTAATAGGAATGCCCGAGATGATTTGTAGAGAATAAAAATATCTACAAAATGAGGGGTTGAATTAAAACATTAAAACCTGAAGTAGTAAATAAATTTCCATGAACAGTTTACAATGTACACTTTAGTAGTTATTTTTCCAATATTCCTTGCCAGAGTCCTTACATACAGTTGCTGTGTAAACAGTAATATAAATTAATACTTGCGACGAATCATGTGCATTATTAATAATTGAGTTTGTTTTCTATCAGTAAAATTCTGTAAGCCCATCAAAATATTTAAATATCTACAGCTTACTGTAGATATTGTCCATTAAAAACCAAATGTATCACTGACGCAACCTAAAATGCGGACCGTTTTTTCTTCCGACAATCGAATAGCAAATACCCATCGAATAGCCAGCAAAATCGGAACATGATCGGGCAGGTAGCGGAAAGATGTGAACTAAGTGATTTTGCTCGCAGATCTTCGTCTGATTGTATGATCGGAGTCGGATATGTGACCCGGCCTTAAGGCTTGATGTTAAACGAGTATCCGAAGCAATAGTTGCCGGGTAAAAGGGCTTAGTTGCAGCAACTGAGAATAATCCCCCGAGTATGGTTCCATAAGGTTCTATGTGTGTTCTATGTGTGCATAGCTAAACGTGTATCCGAGGCAGCAGTCTCGTGTAAAAAAGATGTAAGAGCACAGAGTGCTAACTGTTACATAGTGAAGCCACAGCATAGCGTTATTTATTGTCAACACATGAAACAACAAAATAATCGTGCAGATGTGTACTTATTGCTTTGTTAGTACCGACTAACACGGTTTTACTGACAGATCGAATGGAAAAAAAATACGAAACTTTGTTTAAATAATTTTATTTAGACACTACACGTGTAGTGTTTGTGGCACTTCGCACGTGCGGGCTGTGGTCTGGATTAGACCCCGTCAGGGCGGGCTGGTACCCCCGGCGAAACTTTGTGGTTCTTGACCAAAAAGTCCGCATATTCCTGGTATGGCGTACGCGAAAGTGGCATGTCCTTCCACAAATCGGGCGTTAAGTACGCGTACGTCTTCGCAATGGCTGCGTATGTCGCCTTTGCAAAATTACCCAAAGTCCCTAACAAAAAACAAAAACAAATTAGTCTCCTGACGCTACTAGTGGCCTAGTCACATATGAAGTGCGAAATGTCAGACATTCTTGGCCGTCATTGAATGATTCCTCTGGTGGAAACCGCGAAAGAATACAGTAATTCATCATGTAATTGTCCTTAATTTCCAAATATCAGTTGAGTGATAACTTACCGGTAGATCCTCTTGCAGAAGTGTAACAATCTTCAATACCGGCCATCTGCAGCAATTTCTTAGGAACAGGAGCTGATACAATGCCAGTACCACGGGGAGCTGGGATCAGACGAACCGTCACCGACCCGCATTTTCCAGTTACCTGTAAATAAAATAAGAAGCAAATTAGACAAAATTCACAAAGAAATAAACTTTGATTAAGAGTAGTACTACATTGATCAGATATTCTTGGCCATCACTGACTTGAAGTCTCTGGTGGAAACCGCGAAAGAATGGGAGTTGTTCATCATGAATGTATTCTATGTTTCTCATAACTGAATTTCAATCAACCACAATATCACTAACCTTGCAGGGTACTGTATGGGGTTGACCGATCTTATTTCCCCAATAGCCTCTTCGAACTGGAACCACCGACAATTTAGCCAAAATGATGGCACCACGAATCGCAGTTGCTACTTCCTTGCTGCATTTTACGCCGAGGCCAATGTGTCCTTTGCTGTCTCCAATGGCCACAAAAGCCTTGAACCTTGTACGTTGACCAGCACGAGTTTGCTTCTGAACGGGCATGATCTTCAAAACCTAAAGAATCCTTTATAATTAATATTCTCGTGCGTGTATCGGAACAACGGTTTTTCTTTAAAAAAGTATCAGATATTCTAGGCCGTCATGAATTTTTCCGGTGGAAACCGCGAAAGAATTAAGTTATTCATCATATAAGTGATAAATAAAAGTGGTGTGCAGAAATTGGTTTGACAAATTACCTCATCATTCAGATCGGTTCCAATAAAGAAGTCGATGATATCAAACTCTTTGATCGGAAGAGAGAAAAGATAAATTTCCTCCAAGTTGCGGATTTTACCATCTCGCACCAAACGTCCAAGTTTGGTTACGGGAACCCACTCCTTTGAGTCTTCCTTCCCTCTTCCACGACCACGGCCGCGACCTCTACCTGTAAAACAAAAAAAAAGTTTTTATAGCTTCATATTTCCCAAAATAGTAAAATTTATGAACTAAAGAAACAATAATATTTAATTGGATATGTTGATGTAAATCGTGTTTCGGTAAATTTGACTATTTAAATGGAACTGTATTCTTACATTCATATCGATTTGAGGCAAGAGAGCGAAAATAATAGGGATGTTGGCTGGTACAATAAAATAAATGCAACTGGCATACAAAGAACTCATGGAATAAATAACATTGAATCTGATACCGAACCATAGAAAATCGAAACAGAATCAAGCTATAAAATTGAGTTTCCGAGAGATGACTGATTTATTAAGCGACTGTTAGAAAAGCAAAAGATTGATTTCCATCTGAAAGTGAAAGCGGTAGTTATGTAACTTCAATTAATAATTGACAACGATATATTCCAGATGTTAAAACAGAGATGGAGTTAGATCCTGCAGATGTAGAGGGGATTTAAATTACCTCTTCCGCGACCTCCTCGTCCTCCACGACCACCGCCTGCGCCTCCTGCACCAAAGCCTCCTCTGAATCCACCACGTCCTCCGGCTGGAGCTGCGTCCGCCATGTCTGCAATACAAAAAATGTGGCATTTAGCAAGGACAATGTAATTTACCCAATTTCAGTAAAACTCCAAAAAATTATCAGAACTTCTAGACCATCACTAATTAAATCTGGTGGAAACCGCGAAAGAAATAAAATGTTCATCATGTAGTTTTCGCAATTCATATTGCAAAAAGGAGCAAGTTTTGTCTCAAGTACCCATTTAAGTAACACAATTGTTGGTATTTATGCTGTAATAAATGTAGATCCTTAGTTGAATGAGAAAGCTTTCAAATATCAGCTGGAACGTGACGTGAATGAAAATAACGTGAAATGTTATATTAACATGGAGCAATTGAAAATTAAATTTAGCCAGTTTCAGTAAGAAGACATTTTGGTTCGGCCATAATCGTCGTATTCTAAGCCCCGCCGAATTTTTTGTGTTTTCTTCTTTTACCTTAAAACCACTTCAAATTAAGCACTTTTAGTAAAAAAAATATAAGATGCTCAAACTTTAAACACAATTATTATGCATCTTAGCGAAAACTTTGCAAGTAGAGTTATACATTGTTGAGACCTAAAAAAACAAGATTTAGCAGCAAATAGCACAGGTGGAAAAGCGAATTTCAATAGTGTTTTTTGGATTAATTTATAGACCATCCAATTATGCAATTTGCCTTTTTGAAGAACTAAGCTCCAAACGGAACTTGAAATGTTTCTATGATAAAGTTTGACTGTCTTTGGAAAACTGAACGCGTGGGTGATAACCACGTGCTGAAGGAAGTGGTACTGATAGTTCTGGCAACTGCGCGAAAAATTTGTTCTGGCAAGAATCAACATGGTGTCCTTTGTATTCGATTGGAAACGAATGAATTTCAGAGGGTGAGAAGTAGTGGAAAACGGCATTTTCTCGAAAAAAATATTATTTGTTATGAGAATTTCTATAGGGTGAGCAGTCTTAATCCGCAAAGCGGTAGTCCTGATAAACAGATTGTGTCCCAGACATTTACTCTAATCGGTACATTTTACGGAACCAGAACAAACTTGCATATTTTACAAAAAATATGTTGTTTAACAACTCCTTACAACAATTTCGAAGACGAGACCTTTCGCGATATTTGGCAACACGGTGCAAAGTTTAGAATCAAATATGGCGAATTTCTAGCCATGCGGTTGATTTTATGAGCAATCCAATACTTTCTGACTGGGACTCCTGAATTGAAGCGTGTTTTCAGTTAAAAAAGTGGAATCTTGCAGGGTATAATCGACACCAGCAAGAATCTGGATTAATTATATCCGTTGTTCACGGGCGATGCTGAGTTTAAATTCAACAAAAAATGCGTATTTTCACAAATTTTCAAGCAAAAATGAGTAACCTTCCGACATTCCAACTACACGGGGATGATTGGCTTAAAACAGGGCCAAGCCATAAATCACGTGGCCAACATGGAAATCAGGTTAAGAAATTTTTTAACAAAAATGCTAGTTCCTATTTTGAAACCCGATGTAGATGATATTACTGTGTAAAAACCTAACTTGCTCGTGATTATTAAAATTATAAAATTATTTAACAAACCAGAAAATATCAGAAACTTACCTCTATGTATAACTTCTCGCGTGGAGGAAAACGGAATAAGTGACGCCCAGAGAAAATGGAGAAGCCGGATATTCGATTCATTTCCCCCACTACTTCAATGTTCCCAACAGCAGCGAGCTGGAAGAACTAGTAAAATTTACAAAATTTATACCAAAAACCCACCAATAAGCCATAAAATTGTACTTTTTGTTAAATTTAAGTAAATTCCTACTGAAAAATATGCATACTACTGATTTCATTACAAAATTTTACTGTTCCAGACAAAGAAGATTACTTTTTCAGGACAATCGAAAAGAAGTGCTGTCGTTTGTCGACGTAACCACACTTCAACAAAATAACTTGGAAAATCGAGAGTCAAATCCAGGCGAATGAATAATAATGTTTAAAATTTTGCAAATTCTGCCTAAACGCCCCATTCTGAAACTGTTCGAACCAAACCGTTCGCATAATGTGAGGACAATACTCTCGCAAGCTTATTACTGTGAGGATGTCTGGAACCAACGACTTAGTAACCCCGTTCTACAAAAAGTAAACTTGGATGATTTGTTTTATGAACTGGACCAAAGATTTAATAAAACGAAGCAGCTTAATGCTATTGACATCGATGTGTTTGCCAATGCCATACGGGATGATTCGTTATGTGACGAACTACTGGATGTTGTTCACAAACTTAGGATCACAGCAGACACATGCAATACGTTGGAATCCACCAGTCATGCTGTAGTGAGAGTTTTGTTGCAATCTGGCAAAGCCGAAGAACTTATAAATGCTCTGGATGATCGACTCAACTATGGATTGTTCCTGGACTATTACACAGCAAACCTACTTATGGATACCTTCTGGAAGTCGAAAGAATACACCCATGGGGCACGAGTGGCAAGCCAACTTATGTTGCAGGAAGAAGTGGAGCATCCCTTGTTTTGTAGCTTTGCCCTGCTGCACTGCTACAATTATCTACTGAACCCAACGGGTAGGTTTCGTGAGTTCAAATAGTTAGAAATGTAAAACAAAGTTTGTTTCAGGTTGGCCAGAATATGCGCCCCCACCTGAACCTGAAGAAGAAGTTAAAATCAGGGTAAAGTATTTAAGAAACCCGTATGATGACGAACACTTTGACTTGAGGGATGGCAAGAAAATCGTTGGCAAAACCCTGGCCATGATCAGCAAACGGAAAAATGACCCCTTGCATCAAAGCTTCTATGTATTGGGATTAGCATTGTTTGGAAAACCAGATGTTCTGAGAAGTTTCACTTCGGAAGTCACCAAACCTCTATATAAAGAAGTGTTAGCCCTAATCCCCGAAGAAAGCAACGTTGGAGAAATAATAAATCAGCTTCAAACAGAATCAATAGATCTAAGCAACGTACTCATCGAGAATGTGAAAACAGCCGCACAACAGACTTTAGAAAGCGATATTACCCAACAGTGCGACACCTTTAAAAAATGGGAAAGCGACCGCATCCAGCAGCTAGAAGCACAAAAAGAGAGACTGAAGACGGCCAAGAGACTACAGAGCATTGAGGACATCAACAAGGCATTGAAAGAAAAGGAGGAAAGGCTGTGGTTCTTTGAAAATGAGGAAACAATTGACCTGGCCATTGAGAGCAAAGTCAAATACTACCCGACCAGATGGTTTGGACCCAGAAGGAAACCCAAGGAAGCAGATGCAAGTTACGTACCTCCAGAAGTACATACAAAGCAATTAGGTTAAACTTATAACGTTGTGTATATTTTCTTGAGTAAAATAATAATTTCATATTTGTTTATTGCAATTCGTGATGGTCGCGGAAAGTCTACAACAATGGTGATATAATTTGTTCCATTTGTTGTAATTTCCATCAGAAATTAGCGTTTAAAGTTTTGCATTTTCATAGCAAAGCAATTTAGGTTCTGTGTGTCACCCTGTTTAGCAAAATTCGAAGTTGGCTTATTGGATAGCTATCGCATCAGTACTTCAATTTCATTTTTCATTTCAGTCAAGTCTCTCTGGACTTTGTCCAATTTATCGCGAATGTCTTTATTTTTTTCTGTTTCTATCTGTTCCTCCAAGTTTCTCAGCTCTCGCTCAGCTTGACCAATATTCGAAACTGCCTGCAGAATTCCATTGCATTCTTCCCTTAAGGCCGCTAAATATTTGTAGGCCTTTCTGGCTGATTCGTCACTCTTGCAATCCTACGAACAATGTTGATAACAACTGACAAACTATATTTCAGCACCAACACTTACATGGAAAATCATTTCGTCGCTTAAAGTGAAAGATCTATCCACTTGCCCAGTCAAATTACTGATGTCCTTTTGAACTTGCCTGGTATCCGAAATGATTTTTTGGATTTCCTTGTTTTGTTTCTGAATATTTCCTACTATTTCCAGTATTCTCTTTGTATATGCAGCCCTAATTGATCAAAAGTCAGCAATGATTAGGCAAGTACAAGATTTGGCTGTTTTATTGTTTGGTACCTGTTGTTTTTATTATTCAGATCTTTACATTTTAGAATGAGCTTCTGCTCTAGAGCAGTTTTCTCTTTCAGGTCCGTCATAACTTCTTTATAGGCTTTCTTCAAGGTCTGTAATTCAGTGTACCGAGTTTCAGAACTACAAACAAAATTGCGATTTGAATCAAAGTTAAACTTGCATAATTATGCAGCTTCAACCTTTTTAACGCTTTCTGCTCTTCCAACAGCGGTGCTTGTACTTCGTCCCATTGATTGGCCAATTCAACCAATCGATTTTCACCCTTTTTTATTAGATTCTCCAGTTTAACTATGTTCTCCTCATTGCTGAGAACTGCCATTGTTTTGTTTTTCACTTTAACTTTAGCTACTAATTCTTTGAGTATAGTTTGTTCCTGTTCTCGTTGGGATTTGAGCTGGAAATGTCATGATAAAAACAGAGCGTTTGTTAACACATAAGGAACATACAGGTTTTAGATAAATATTAAATACATGAACACTTACACTTTATACTAAATGTTCCAGTACTATCTAAGAATTTTAGAGTTAACTATTTTTTTCATGGCTTACCTTTAACAAGTTCTCTTCGCATTCTTTAACAGCTTTTTGCATTTCATCCAAACTCTCCTTCTCCTCCTTTAGGGTATTTAATAAAGGTTCCGCTTTATGCTGAGGGGAATTGCGATTTATGTACTCTTTTCTATCTCCAGCTGCACTCGGGCTGTCCAATTTTTCAATTGCTGCGCTATTCAACAACTCTCTTGATAAATCACGCGCTAAAGGCTCACTTACAGCTGACTGCTGCCAGTTTTGCATGCCCGAGTAATCTATGGGCGGAAATAGAAGGGAAGGCAACAGTTGTCTAGGCGTTGAACATTGTTCTATCACATTTGGAATGAATGAGGCTGTTTCTGGATCTAAAAAATATTTTTCAAAATTTGAGAATGAGAAACCAGACTTATGAGCATACCAGTGGTTTCATCCGCAACAATTAGGTTGATGCCATGAAGGGGGACACTGTTACCAAAACTGTTAACGAGAAATCCGTGTTCAATAGGCCGAGCTCCAAAGTGCAGAGCTTCAGATGGAATCCACATCTTGGTCAAAGAGTGTCTCAAAGTATCTTCTATCTGCTTTACTACCTTAGGAACGTATCCAATTGGTTCCGCAGATGCAGCGGCATTGGCTTCCTTGGGCAACCGCTCCAATAGAAACATTAGAACGCGCCGTACTTCCACCTAGTAATAATTTTAAAAATATCAGGAAAACTGGATATGTTTATTCGTTGGACTGGCGGTACCTCATTACAATATAGAATTGTTTGATATCCCATGTCGCCTTTGAAGCCGAATTCCGTAATTTGCTGAGCTAGACTAGAGGCGAACTTTATACGGGCGCTCATTGAAGATGGCAATTTTCTGGGCAGTTTTAGTTGAGGGTTTATTGCTTGTAGACAACTTGTTATTGCCATTACAACTAAATCTGCATCGAAGTCTTTTAAACTAGTAATTCCTCTTTCCACATCGCTAAAAAAAACGTTCACTTTCCTTAGAATGGGGATAAATGGGAAGAAAAGTGTTTTGGCCATGCGAATTTTGAGTAGTTCCTTATGACATAGGTTTTGTTGGCCTTGTTGATGATCATGAAAGTATTTACTCATTTATGTTCTTTAGATCGGTTGTCTGTCAAGACGTATAATGGATAGTATCTAAATTGGTAGGTATGTATGTCATTTTCTATTTTTTCTTGTAGTCTGTTTTTAATTATGCGTTTATATAATTTCTCAGTACCGGCAGTAACAAAATGAAAAATCAGTTTCCCATTTGTTTCTGTTAACTTTTTTGTTTCTTTGGTATAATTATGCCATTTTTTCGGAAAAAGGAAAAATATTTCAGTCTAAACCAAATTCAATTGCTGACGCCCCACAGCTTGCATTTCATTTGTGGATAAATCAATCCAGTAGGGTTTGATGGTAATATTCTCCAAGTGTATACTATTAAAGGCTATTACTTGAGAGTATTAAAATTAAAAGTTAACTCACCAGCTAAGATGTCTTAAGGAGTCTATGATAATTTTATCAACTTCTTCCATCCTATTTTCCCAATGTCCTGATCTTTCTTGCTAATTATATCTGAGCTACATAGAAGGCGTTAATGAGTGCCAAAATAATAGGCAATAAATTAATAGTATTAATTTAATAAAATAAATAAATATTTATTTTGCAGTTCTCACATAACCTCAAGCAAAAGTGACGTATTTTGAAGGCAGTTCAAATCCCCTGCCGATAGCTGCTGCCATCTTTTCTTGTTTATATCAATGAGTTACAGCAAACTGTATTGCTGCAATCGTTGCACTTGAAGCTTTGACAGTCTTGAATTATAGTGACGTGTTGTAAACAAAACCAAAACGTCACTGAAATGGCCGAAGAACAACTTGATTTGTGCAACAATTTGGAAAATCTCGACATAAAGCAGAATAACGAACTGCCAATTGATGGCATTCAGGGCAGTAATGGTGTGCAAAACGGCCTTCCCCTCAATGAAGTTTACAAACTGGCCCTAAGCTTCTATAAAGGTAATTTTAATCTCTGAAGCCTTAGGGAAGGCCTGACTATGTTCAGGTTTTATTGCCAAATGTTCGAGTACAGTGTGCACTGTCACCTTTTGGAAATTGAATTTCTAGATAACTTTTCTGGTATGAAAAGTTTCACACCATGTATACGTTTGGGAGTGTATTTTTTTAAATTGCTTATGGACCTTAACTCTGAATTGTCTTCACTATTCCTCAGTATCTCTCAGACATACACAGCACTCAACAGCTGCAGCAAGTTAGCAAAACTAACTATTTACAGAAATAACATCAGAAACCCACCTGTGAAACCAGTCATGAATTCTTCAATAAGGTTTTAACAGACGTTTCATTAATCTGATAAGTTAACAGTCTGGTTTAATTTCCAAAGAAACTATTTGCCCAGACAAGTTCTAATAAACCATAATTCTTGTTTCTTCAGACAAAGTGGGTAAAGCTTTTCACTTCAGTTATGAGGACAACTTGCAGCTAGTGGCCTTTTCGCAGCAAGTTGGTCATGGACCTTTGGCCGAAGCCATATCTAAACTACCGCCCCTTGGTACATTGGATGTAGTTGGAAAAGATAGAAGGTATTGTCGCCTTTCGCCCCAGAAAATTACAAATTAAAAAAACGCGACTTTTTATTCTATTTCAGGGAAGCCTGGCAGAAACTAGGCAACTTATCAAAAGATCAGGCGCGAACAGGGTTTGTAGAATTACTCAGCAGAAGATGTCTATTGTTTTCCGCTTATATAGAAGCGCACAGAAGGGAGAGAGACGAGCAAAGTCGAAAAGAGTAAGTTTGTTGCAATTTGAAAGCGTCCGTTTGTATGTTTCCATAATTTAAGTATGTTGTAAGTTTTATATTGTAAGCCTGGGTTTGTTATAGCAAAGAGCAAGCTATCATTAAATTGGCAGAAGAGGCTGAGCATCAAAAGCAATTGGAGGAGGAAAAGTTACATATTGAGCAAATGCAACAGCAGGAAGCTATAAAACGGCAAATTCAGTCGGCTTTGAATGAACAAACGTTTGACCAGTTTAGGAAATACGCCTCGCAACAGTACCCGGGTAATTTAAAATTTGAACGCGTATAATAGTTGAATAATGAAAATACAGCGTCATTGTTGTTACCAGGTGATCCAGAGAAGCAAGGAAGTTTGGTCAGGCAACTTCAAGAACAGCATTATTTCCAGTACATGCAACAGTTGGAATTGTCACAGCGAGCAGAAGCGTTAAATGAAAGGAACATTTTGCCCGAGAATTCCGAGTTGAAATCAAACGGGGTGGTAAGTTTGAAAATCTTACGAGAGAGTGGAAGACATCTGTGTGTTGCTGTAGAAGCCGTTGGAGCACAGCATTTCCGATGCCGAGAATCCTGACAATTCCGAGGAAGAGGAGTCCAATAGCCAAACTGAGTCAGCGAGTATGTGGACTTTGCCGGACATTGAGCCGTTTAAGCAAAGGTAATTTCACACCGAACTCGAAGCAACATCATAGCAATCTCAATGTTGAATGTATTTGCAGGGTGGCGCAGACAGAAGGCGACTGTGTTGTAAGAGTAGGTCATGGTGAAACAATCACAATTCGAGTTCCCACTCATCCGCAAGGATCGAAATTGTTTTGGGAATTTGCTACCGACCACTATGATATAGGCTTTGGAATATATTTCGAATTCGGCACCCCGCTGACCGACGAAGTTTCAGTTCATGTTTCTGAGAGCGATGATGAGGATGTCGAAATTGATGAAGATGAATTGTATGCAGATGAGAATCTGAGATGTGATTTGGAATCGGGCGGTGAGTATTTGTAAATTATCGAATTTTTATTAAATTACTCGCAATTTTTTTTTGAAAGCGTGATTACTAGTGAGAATTTGATGATTTGATTGAAATTTTTTGTGTATTTTGATGCTCCAGGTATGGATTTGTCGTCTCTCACCAAACCTGCGGTCATGGAAATCGTTCCGGTATACAGGCGAGATTGTCAAGCTGAAGTTTACGCTGGCTCCCATGCCTATCCAGGTAAGGGAGTTTATCTCCTCAAATTTGACAACTCCTATTCGCTTTGGAGGTCTAAAACCCTTTATTATCGCATTTATTATGCAAATTAAGCGACTTATATGTTTTAAGTGTAAATGGTAATTATTTATTGTTCTCAGAACTTAGGCATATGTTTTATAGTAGCAACAGTTACTTTAGATGCTAGGTACTGTTGAAATGGTTAGCTTTTGTTAATTTACCTAATACTCTGCCACGGAGTTAATAAAACCATGTTTTAATCTCAATTTATTTGAAAAATTTTACGACCATTTTTCTAATTTATGTATGTTTTAACTTCGCCCGCCTGAATAAAGCGGAAAGCAAATTTTTTGATCCCCTTTTTGACTTTTATCAAATATTACAATACAATTCAGATTTCGTTTTTAAATTACCAACTGCTTGGTTTTTGCATGGTTGAAGAATTGATACGTTGAAACAACAGTATCTTCTTAGAAAATGTTAATATATGTATATACCATTACTAACTGCCTAAATATAAATAGAATAAATTATGCATATTTATTCCATTAAATAGTTTAGTTACCTACTTATCCAGGTCCCGTTCCATAACCGCATCCAGTTGCTGAATCCGCTGATAAACCATTTATGCGTTATAACATGCCTGGAAATTGGATATTCATCTATTATGAAGTATCCCTGGCGTCGTTATCGTTCAGAAACGTTAAATTCGAACCGTAAACAATAGTGCAATGTCCAGATAGGCAAACACAATTACCTATATTTGTAAAAATCTCTATTTGATTCATGTTGTGGACCTGCCCGTGTGTTTCCAGAGCGAAGCCGGTTTATTGGAAACATCGCGGAGCTCTGCCATCGAACAATAGCGCCGTATCATCGTATCAAAATGGCAATTACAAAATTTGTAAAACGTAGGATGTCATTAATTTGGCTTATGGTCGAACTACAACGCCGAATGGCCGATGCCATCGGCGCTTGACACTGATTAGTTTGCTGTTCTATGTGCTTTTGTTGGCCCATTCATTGATCACACTGTTTACTTTTTATTAGAACTTTTTATTAGAATGTAGATTCGAAGACTTATAACAATGTTACGTGATTTCGGTCAATGAATGTGAAGTGAGAGCGGTACTGTTGAGTATAGTGGCCGATTGGTGGTTGGAAAGAACTATATCATGAGTCCGTGTTAAAACCTACTAAAATTAGGGAATCGAAAAAAGCGCTTAAAAAGCAAATTGATATGTTGCAAAAACGAATAATAATATGGAAAAAAGCCCAATATTCTTCCCTTGGGGTGCCTATAAATTGCCATTTTTGAAAATGTTTTAAATTAAATTTAGAGTCTTGAAATAAATGAACGAAGTTTTCTTAAATAGATTTAAAACCGAAGAAATATTTTGCAACTTCTCAATTCGCTTTTTGATAAAACAGCGTTTAATTGGAACATGAAATTTGCCATTCGAAATATGGTCGTGCGAACAGTCACTTTCTACAAAAATGTCAACAATAAACAAACTGAAATCGAACTGCTAAGTAAATTAAATTAACTTATTCAATAATCATGTTCATTCGTTATTCTGCAATTCGGTGTCTTTTTTTTGCTACCGATAGTGGACGAAATCGGTCGATAATCGCATTCTTAGATGGGAAATATAGAATCATTGTGGCCTTTATGGCAACGTGTACTGAACCTCACGAGGATTATTGGTAGAAAATGGAGGATGGAGTGCCAGCCTGTAAATATAGCTGGTAAGAAATTTCTAATCTATAAAATATTTGACCTTGAACTGAGTAGTTTTCCGATAACCAACTGAATTTTTATGGATTTTTTATATTTCTCTCTTTGCTTTGCCGATTTCAAATAAATTTGGCTTTGCTCCTGCTGTATTAAACATATTTTCTTTTCATTTGGTTCCGATTAACCACGAACTTCTTCATAAGAAATTTTTAAGCTTTAGTAATATTTTGGGCGGCTGTGTTTTTACATCAAGCTCATCTGAAGCTTTTGAATAATTGTTTTAATAAAGTATGCAGTTGCGTGAAAGCATTCATTTTCAAAGCAACATTTACGAAACGCGCAAAATTCAGGTTTTCATGCGATTTGAATGAACTTGAAGATGAACTGAAGTGGTAAAGAAATTGTGACGACATTTAGAGCGCACTGTTTTTGACTGAACACACAACTTTGAACTTGTAGAGCATTTTTAGTTTCTGACATTTATTTTCGAAAATCGCGTTGCAAAATGTGTCCAAAACAGATTTTTCAAATCCTAAGCAACATTTTCTAAACGATAAGTGAATCTCGAAATTTTGGCTCTTTGGCACTCTTCTATACCACACGCACAATTCTGAACTTGTATTTCTGTTTTTTCATTTCTCAGAATTTCATTTTTGTAAAACGTGATGCAAACTGTTTCCGAAACGGATTTTTCAAATCCTAAGCAACATTTTCTAAACGATGAGTAAATCTCGAAATTTCGGCGAAATTCAGAGCACACTTTTCTATACCACACGCACAATTCTGAACTTAAAGAGTTTTTTTCGTTTCTCAGAATTTTATTTTTGAAAAACGCAATGAAAATGTGTTTCCGCAACAGATTTACAAAAAGTATGAATGCTTAACACCACTACACTTAAAGACTTTAATGTGGATTTCCAATTTTTAAGATAGATAAATACACCCAACACAGCAATTGAATTGCAATAATTTTTGGCTTTTGTAGGGGAGGAAGAAATATATATTTTAAAAGAATTATAATTAATGAATTCGACAGGCTTGGTCAGAACCAAAATATGTGAAAACAAGTGATCAGTTTTAGGCCTTCTTTAGTTCGTCGTCGAATAGAATTTCTTCCTGACGTTTCGCAAGGCGCTCCTGGTTGCAAAACTTTAAATATTTTGATAATACATAGGGTTTTCATTAAGCCTGCCTTTTTTAATTATTATACATTTCTTCGCTTATTGATATTACAGGTTTTATGTGCTTCCATAAAAAATGAGTTGTTTTTGGCAGCATAGGGTCAATATTAATCGCCTCTAAGGTTTTCAAAAAAAATTCAATATTTATCTGATTTCAACTAACTATTAAACGCGATATACGAATCGCTATGCTAATGGATTCCTTAGTTATAATTTCCAATGAGTAAATATGCGAAATAAGAAAGTTATCTGCATTTGGGCGATAATAAATACGCAAATGTTGAACCTTAAAATTCGCTTCGCAAGAGTATTAAGGGCTATAAAAAGGGCACATTATTGCCGATATCAATATGGGATCCAGTAAATTTTGCAGTTTTACGACTCATACATCAGAGATTTATGTAAATTCTCACTTGTGCGAAAATATGGCCATCGATGGACCTTAAAAAGACCAAAATCCATCATGGCAAAGAGCGTCGAAGACACAATGTAGAAGGTGCTTATAGGCTATTTTCCGGATGGTGGAGTCGATTTTAATACGTAACGTGTCACATAAAATTACTCTAGTGGGGAGCGCATATGTGTGAGTGTACCCCGAACACTGGCCCGGCCTGATAAAAAGCCTTTTATTATGTTATAGATGTATAGATTTTAGTCCCGATTACGCCATAAAAATAAGCTGCCGTCGCCGTGCTTTCTTCTCGAACCGCGGAGTTTTATATGTTTAAAATCACTTTGCTGTATAAAACTGAATTTATTTCGTTCGCCTCCTTTCCAACCATACTGTATTGAAAGTCACAAAGTTTCCATTTGACTTTTCCCCGCTATTTTCACAAAAATATTCTGGGCTTCATAACAGATGTTAACAGTTGAAGATCGTCGCAAATCTTGAACGTTTTCGTTTGAAAAGATTTGCTGTTTGAATTTCTGGAAAACCATCACAACCCCTTGAAAGCACATTCAAACTAGATCTTTTTTGTTTCTAGAACACTTTTTGGTGAAAACATGATTTTTGATGTAGAAAAATCACTTAAGTGGGCGCATGTTTTAAGCCAATAATTTGCACTTTCGCCTGACTCGGGCAGATAATTGTACAAAACAGTTTAGAAGAATACTGAAATGAAAAAATAATTGAACAAATGGCTTAGAAGGAACAAAAGTGAAGCATTCACTGTTTAGTAGTGAATGCATCTAAGTACTAAGTATTTTACTTGATGCTTGTATGGTTTTATACGATTGAACTTTTTATTTAAATAACATGTTTGGAGGAAAGTTTATGGCGACGAGAAAATTTTGAAGACATGAAAGATGAATTAAACTTCCAGTAAAATTTAAAAAATGTAGCTTCTCAGGCTTTAGTTTTTTGAAAACAACTCCCCAGTTGCTCATTTACTTCCGATTTACACTTTAAATTAAACAGACACAATGACATTGTTATGGAGGATTAAAAATCGCACATTTTGGATAATAAGTACTTTTTAAGGACTCTTGGTTAGTTGAACAAAAACTTCCGAAAACTCGATGATATAAACTTGCAGCATTCAGGTTCTTGACGAGGGTATGGAGGAAAATGCGATACAATACACTCGTATCTTTGCCCCAACCCCAATTAAACATTATGAAAGTTCTGAAATTTTTCAAAGTTGTTCAAGGATGTTTTCACTAGTTCTGTTGGCCTGTAGATTGTCTTTGAGAATCTATGTAATTTTTATTATTGAATTAGTTAGTGCTGCAGTGTTAAGTCTGCAACAAGGAAAAAGCTGATTAAACCCTGTTCTCTTTAGAAAAATTCTCTGTTTGGGGCAGTTTAAAGTGATGAATGGCTGGCACTGAGCCACCCTCGCCTAAGTCAATCCAGAGGCAAATAACCAAATAAGACTATCGGGTCGTTTCGAGAGGCAAATGCTGTGCAAATAGCAGCGTCGCTATCTGTTGCTGGCAAGACTCGACGCCGTTGTATCGGAAAGAAGCACTCGAGACGAATGATCCGTGATGATTTATTAGCCGTCCAGCATCGAACAAGGACCAATATTGGATTTTTACCTGTCGACTTTAGGTTTTAAAAAATTCCTTTAAAGGAAAAACATTTATTATATCAAATTATATAATATCAAAATTGCAGTTGCAAAACTTTTCAATTTCTTCAGTTCTTTCACATGTTAATTTTTTAAGAGTGGACAATTATTTCTTAAAGTTCTTAAAGCTGTTAGCTGATACATAACTTTTGTTTGCAACTACAGTTGAGTCCGGATATAACAAACTTCAAAAATGAACTCAAACTGGTTTGTTATATCCGGAGTTCGCTATAAGCGAATAATAATACAAAAAGACGTCGTGTATTTTATTTCGTTATTTTTACATAGAGTAGTAGATGTTAGTAGGCATGACTAAAAAGAACACAAAAAGATAAACAAAATTCAATTTGAAATATACTTCATAAAGTCTGTAATTTTTGTTAGTACATGTCTGCTGCAAAAATATATGTTATTAATGTAGTTTTTAAGATCACAAAATGACTCACAGATATGATTAGGAACTTGGCGTGATTGTAGAAAATTCCAAGTTTCTGACACGTTTTTGTCCTTTAAGAAATGGTTGGAACAGCATTAGTGTCTA